TCAGTTCTAGGAAAAACCCAAAAACTTTGGCACAGAAACATCATCATGCAAACAATGCAGCTGCTTCATATCAAATGTTTGCGCAAGAGAGAAGCTGAGTTTTGAGGCTTGGAATCGTGCTAACTCTTTGATTGTTTTTTTGATTTTTTTTTGATTGTTAATAACTCGGTTGCTTTTATGTCTTTCGCCGAGCTTGAGGCACCATTCTGTGGAGCGAGGTTCAACTTAGATTTGTAGTATGGAGCGAACCACCGGTCGGTGTTCGTCATTGTAGAATTACGGCATGAACTTCTAGCATGTGGATGTATTGTGAAATATGCCATTCGGCAAAATTTTTTTCAAAAAATCTGAAAAATTGTGTACTAGGGTTTTCGCGCGCTGATTCCATTACAAAACTTTTTATAAGTGTTTTTAGTTTTTTTGACGATGTAATCACTTATCTGACAAATGCTGGAAATTCAGTTACCACGATTTACCTGGGATAACTTTGGAAAGAAGCATCACAGTAAAGTGGAAATTTCATATTCGAAATCAGCGGCCTCCATTACCATAGTATAAGAGTTTTTAACTTGTTTGGTTTTGGTCAGAATCATAACATGGCCTCCAATGGCCTAAAATCCTTGTCGAAGTTCCTACCGTAATCCTAGAGTAATGAAGAGTGATTGACGATTCCCTCCATACTGTAGACCTAAGTTGAGCCTCGCTCTATAGAATGGTGCCTCAAGCTCGACGAAAAACATGAAAGCAAGGGAGTTTATTAACAATCAAACAGTGTTCACATTTTTTTGGGACACCCTGTATACTTTGATTCTACAGGTTCTGTTGTGCTTGACAGCATCGGGATCAGTCAAAATAAAGCAGTCACGTCTGATGATGTGAAAAGTGAGAAAATGATTTGAAGAAAGTTGTGAAAATCGCATCGTCATCAATGGTATCGAGTAAAACCAAATCTTAAGGAGCATTCTCAGAATTTAGTTTGTCTGCTGGCAAAAATGACCAGAAATTTCACTTGCTTCACGCAAGCAAAGTGGGGTCCACAATTGTTTTGCTTTCTTGTCTTCCTGAAGGAAGCAAATGATACTTTTGCTGCGTTATTTCTTTTGCCATTATTGCTTTACAACGTCAAGCTCCAAAGCTAGAGACCTGAATTCATTCCACTCAAACATTTTTTTGATTTCCTAAAAAATCTATCAATCTACTGCTTTCGAATGGGCAGGCGTGTAGCTAGCTGTGGACTAACAGTGAGTTTCATATACCGCCATACGTTAGAAGAAAGGTGATGTAGAGAAGACTTCAGGATTTCAAGTTTTTTTGGAAATCCCACTGGGAAATAATTTGAAAAGAGTACTCCCCAAAACACCGTTAGATCCCACAATCTGAATCCTATGTTATGAATTTTTTCCTACTCCTAGAAACCTTAGCCTATTCAGGCTCAGCTACTAAACTCTTCTGCAAAAAGCAGAACATCCGAATGATTTCTTTTAGCGTTTGTCATGATCTGACGATTTTCAGGTATTCACGTCTGCAAACTATGGAGGAAGTCGCCAAAATTGCGGACTTACTCGATCAATCAGCTTTCGTCACGTTTCGACGAAAAAAAAACAATGTTTCCTGCGTCAAAGATTTTGAATGCAAAGGTTTCGTGTTCAGCATTCAAATGCTTTTGTTTAATGAAGGCTTAGTTACTTGTGTCTGTTTTAGCTCAAGGTTTTTTAGTTTCTCTTTAGTTTCAAAGAGAAATAAGTCGAAGCATAACGATCAAATGCTGTTTTTCAAGCTCTTTGATAAAATAAGAAGTTTCTGTCATCTGTTTGCATGAGAACTTTCGCCGTCGATTTCTTTCGCTGGAGCGGATTCAAACTCGGGTTTAAGCCGTTCATAAGCGCCAATGTGTCGATAGCCAATTTTTCAGCTACAATCTCGTTCTCCGTAGTTTTTATAACGAGAAATCCCCAGAGAAGAATCCTGCCCAAAGAAGCAAGTTCCACCCTTCCGTGGCCGTTTATCTCGATCCCTCTACACCAATCAGCCAGTGAAAAGCTTGAACTTGACATGAATACTAATGCGAAGAGATCGAGAACTCGTTATGTCTACAAGGAATTAACGGCTTACAGCCTTATCGCGATAGCAGAGACGCTTGAAATGTGCGAAGTGAAAGCGACAAGGTCATCTGTGATACCCGACTACACTAACGAATTGCAGAAACAGGATCGGTTTGGCAGTTCACAGATGGCCGGCTGTTAAAATAGCTGAAACAAAGCGCCGAGTGCTGCGCTTTTCAATGAGTGTGATCTTTGGCACCGAAATAAAATTGTAATTCGTTCTACACAGATTTAGCAGATCGAAAAACTCCAAGTTAGACGCGGAAATAGCATGGGCTGTGCTCTTATAAGTAGTTTAGAAGGTCATAGGTCATGACGTTCTTCGAATAGTGCTTATCGGAATAGTGATAGGCGCCACTGGACTGTAATGGGACATTGTGAGGAGTTTTGTACCGACGGGATAGCTGCCGAATGGTAGAAATCATGTCTCATTTATGGTTGAAACAATATTACAAACCAGTGCTTCACCTCCGCTTCGTAGGGACCGGCCATACTATTCCAGGAGACGATTTCTGCGACTCTATAATTTTGCAATTCATGTGATTCCTCGATTTTCGATGTGCCGCATTACGGAGCGCTTTGCGAATTTCAGTATAGATTGTTTTTTTTCGCAATATACATTGTTATGGACCCGCAGGAATCACAGGAATCGCAGGAATTGCAGTAATCATAGGATTAGTATGGATGGCCTCGTAGAGTCTCGCACCGGTTTACACGGAACGTGTCAGATTTCATTCCAAATGCCTAAAGCGAGCGACTCTAGTTGAAAATTACTGCCCTTGCTATCAGATATCACATGCTCAAAGTACTGTAGATCATTCCTCACTGTAATGCCATAAAGGACAAACTCCCCGTAGCTCCAGATCAAGCGGCTTATTACAAGTCATGAGGTTCATTTCCAAACAGATTTTGAGATTGCTTCACTTACTTTCAGATTCAGGGATTTTTGGGAAGGTCTATGATTTGCTTTCTCCGCCTAAGGACAAAAAACAGAAGGAAATTGGCTATTTACTACCAAAGCACAAAAAGTTTTAATGTCATTATTTTTACCATTACTTTCAAAACACGAGCGCATACTCCACTAATTTACCGAGAGAACACATCACCCTATGAACGTATGTTGCTTATTCTAATATGTGCTTTACTAAAAAATGAGCGAAGTGCTCCAACAAGCGCTGCCTCAGCTGTCCATTGGTTCGCACATGCTACTGCATACTTTGTGAGGACCAGAAGTGCGCATAGACAGCAGTTAATGGTGGAACGTTGCTCTAGTCATGCTCAGTATAAGTTTGAGTTAAAGTCAGGATTTCACTGGTAATTAACTGATCTTTCAATGTCGTTTTTATTTTTTTAGACCTTGGAACTAACCTCAAAAGGGTCGGAATCGCACTTGAATTTGCGCATTTTTGAACCACGAATTGGCTTCATGTAAGAGAAAAGAAATATAAGGAAATGCTGTAGTTCTATTTGTTAGTTGTGCCAGCACGAGGTTTCGGCGAAGCTTTATTAGTAGAGCGGCCTAACGTTTCGAGCAATCCCCGTCTTCAGAGGCCGTGGCTCTATCGCTATCGCACCGATGGTGGTGTGCGACCACCTTCTCCGAATTAGTAGTGCAAATTCGTAAGGAAATAAGGAATAATAATAAGTAATGCAATACATAAGAAAATGCATTCACCTAGAAACAAGGCTCAGCAGAGGTGGCGCTTTCACATGCTGGATGTCGTTTTTCCAAGGGAAAGCGAAAGAGAATTCGTAAAGTATTCAGGTAACTCTTACAATTAGTAATCCCGAATTTGAAGCTCTACCGTCGTTTTACAGTAATAGGTGCTATAACACGTGATAAACATGACTAGTGCATAAACATGTGTGTACACGATTTCAAGTAGCGAAACACAATCTTTATTCAAAAAAATAAACAATCAGTCTGTTTATAGCGAGTAAGCAATATCAAGACACCAAATTTGGTGTGTACCTCCGCAGTGGCAATAAGAAAACATCAAAACTTATGAAAAATTGTGTGAATAAAGGAGTTGTAGATGTTTTTCTATTTTAGGTTGATCCCGCGCAGCTTCAGGGTGCTCCCATCTGGGAGCACCCTAAAGCTGCGCGGGATCAAACATCATAATACTCCTTGTTTTTCACAGAATTTTTCGCCCCCTGCAGTGCAATTTCCCTTGCTTTAGTTCTTCACATCCGGCCACTTATCGTTCACTGCAGATTATACCTTCTACGTACACCATAAAAGGTATTTCGTAGTCTTCTGCAATGCCAAAGGGGACTCCTTTCCAAACTTTAAGTGCCATCTTGTGCTGGGCCCTGCTTAGAAAAGTACTTCCATATGTTAAGGAAAATTGTATCAGAGACTCAGTTCTGATGAAAATATATTACCCCATAGACTAATTTTCCACATTATTCAAGTTGTAAATTTTTTGTTGGTATATCCCCTTTCAGTGAAAACCTGTGGGAGATTCTATGCTGCTAAACTAATCTATGCTGGATCGGTACTTTGCGCTATAATGTACCCTTTGATTTAACATGATTGACGGCTGGAAGCAGAGTTTCGAGACCTAATCAAGGCTAGGGAATGGTCAGAGAGCACGCTCGCGAGAGAGACGCAAACTGCATCGCTGGTGCGAGCGTCGCCTTCCAACCGCCCATGCTTTGAATCAAAGGGTCATCCATAAAACAAACATATTCGATCTGTTGCGATGGTAGCCGTTTTTCGCTTGACACACAATACAGAACACAAATTTAGATTCCGGATTAAGCTAGATAAAAATGAATAAAAGAAGTTTGTGTCTGACATTCTATTTGTTACAACTTGCTCATCTAATATACGAAATTCCTTCAAAAAATATTGCACAGACTATTTTCATGGACACATAATTTTGTAAGCTATTAGCCAGTGGGAGCAATTACGATATTTTCTATATAGGGTGTGCCAAAATTATCGGCGCCAACTTCACAAACCGTGCCACCAAGAAACCACTAAGAAATACAAGCTCAAACTTATGTCTCACAAGGGAAGGATACTGAATTAGATTTGCCTTTTTAGATAAGAGACATATATTTGGAATCAGCTTTGAACGCTGATTCCAAATATGCTGCTCCTAGCTGCTTAGCATTATTACAGAGCGAGTTATGAGCTTGCTCTTGTGAGTAATTAACAAACTTTTGAATGTCATAAGACGGCGTGCAGATTAGAGTCTGCTCGAAAAAAGTGCTTGTTAAAGTAGCAGCAGATTGATTTTTCGATCTTGAAAGGGAGCATTATACAATTGCAAAATCACTAGACGTCGATACCGTAGCATCAGTAGGTCGAGGAGCACGCAAACCTTGCATAGAAAAGAGACCATAACTCGCTTCAGAATAACGCTAAGCAGCTAGGAACAGCATACATTACCGCTCACATTTTTTGAAAAATAGACGCGAATGTATGGACATGTATGGACATGTCGCTACATGTCCATACATGTATGGACATGTCCTTTCCCTTGAGTTTTGCAGGAGCCTGCGTGATAAGTTGTGCATGATAGATGAGTCCATATTTAGGAGTGTTTTTCTTGGTCTTCAAAGCACGGAACAAAGCCTGAATAGAAAATCATATAAGAAAAAACCAAAAAAACAACTTTTCATACCCTCTCATCACCAAGAATCTGTATTGTAGAAGCTGCTTTGGCCAATGAAACGAGAGATCCAGCATGTGAGATCAGTCGAGCACCAACAAGCTCACCAAAGCATGTCAAATTAGGGGTAGGGCAGTCACCCTATTTTTCAAATAGTCGAACAATTGCGACCAATCTAAATTAAAAAGAAGAAAAAACTTATTTTATGAAAGCCCGACTCACACATTTCAGAGTATTCAAGTATGAAAGATATTAGGATGATCCAAAAGTAATAGGGCACCTTGATTTTTTAGGCATTATTCAAGATCTCTTCCTGATTAGCATGAACAACCAGCAGTTTGAACGCTTTTGTATAAAGTGACCTTCGCAGGTTATCTTGACAGCACCTTGCAGCACCTCACCGACATTCCTTCGAGCGGCTCTTCAAAGAGGTCAAACAGGCTTTTTTGAACGCCATCCGAATTTGTGCTGCTGCACCTAAAAGTCCCTCGACATATGGCTACCATTCACAGCTTTCCAAGCTCTTTCTAACGATTACTTAATATTCAAAAATTGCCCATTATTGCATACAAAAAAGGCACTTTATTCGAAAAAGTGCGGTGTTCGGCGCAGATTTTCAGACTAAAATTCATGTATTGGCCCATAATTTTTTGAAAACGAGAAAAGTTGAAGTAACTTGCTTATATATGGATAGAGCGTAAAGAGCACTATCAGAAAGCAATTGTTAAGGTTGAGCTTATTTGATTACCTTGATGAAAGAATAAGTAATATGTCTCCTAATACCCAACGCTATATCTTCTGTTCTAAAGCCTTGGACCACTGAGCTATCGTGGTTTTGGCGACAGTCTCCTCACCCATTGCTGAGCAGATATCTTTGGTAGGCTTACTTGTTCTACTGCGGCGCTGCTCAAAATTCAAAATTACTTGAAATGATGAGCTTTAGTTTTGAGCGCTTATAAAAATAACGCCACGTGCCAGTGCCCAACTGTATACCTCGATCAGAAGGTTTTGTTATGTACTAACATCTGCTCTCTAGGTACCCCATTACTTTTGGATCACCCATAGAATAAGAATGTCAATATGACTACGACCTTACAAAGAACTTCTAGGGAAACCATAAAAAGGTAAAAAGGTGGCTATACTCATTAAATCCAATTTGCAAATTTACAACGCACCTGTACTGCGTCAGCTCGATAATTTGTCGCATAAGCCACTAATATGAATCAGATCCAAATCAGAATTGTCAGCTCCCATCAAGATATCTCAGGGGACGACTGGCGTAGTGGTATGAGGCGCCACTATGACCAGATCGGACACAGGTTCGATCCCCGCCCCTGGGCCAACCAAGCCCTCTACCCTCCGGGGCGGGTAAATTGGTACCAGAGTAATCTGGGAGGATAAAAGCACAGACTTGGAAACGGCTGGCCCCCGCAAGTCACTGTAATAGGCTCGCACGCATACAATTGTCTCTTCGACTATGAAGTTAGTGTGTGCGTTCGGCGCATGCCCCCAGAGGGTATTGAAGACGCCGAATCCTTTATCCTCTTATCAAGATATCTGCCTCCCCTTTCACCTTTGTTTCAAGTTGCTTTTGTAGAATTTCGGAAAGATCAACATTGGCTGCATTTTGCTTCATGCCAATGGCTTTGACAACCTGGAAGTCGATTGATAGATGAAAAACGATACGATAGTGCACCTTTGCAAAAGCTTGATGATCCTGCACAAGTTTGTCGACTTCGGGAAAGTGCCAGCCTACCCACGACATCTCCACGTGATTATTAAACTCTTTATCTAAGTCGTACGAAAGCGAAACAGCCTAGAAAGGAAAGACATTTGCAAATACAGTCATACTTTGTACCGACAAGAGAATGTGCTACGGTTAGATTCATGGCACTTAATTCTGCTTTGTGCTCGCATAGCAATGAATCGATGTGAGCACGGATGCTTCGCATGAGCTCAGAAATAGCTGGAGAGTAAACACATGCAACTTCCAACTTTTCCTGGAAACGAAAAGCATGAAAAGCTTAAGCCAATTCCATCAAAACATGGAGTGATTAGGACGAGATAGATTCAAATAACTTTTTCAGATTTGGTAAGCTCCTAGACTTTATTTTAGTGTCTATGATCAGAAAAGAGGGTATATTGGGATAACTGTAAATTCAAAAAGATTTTTTCTTTCAAGGAGCCTACTGCAAAAGTAGTTTTTTAAAAGACAAGTGATAAGGTAATAAACTTACGTTGGCCTGCTGTATTGGAGGAGGTGGCGACGATGTGCTGTTTGCCAGCAGCTTTGGACAACCAAATCTAAAGTACATCATGTGTCTAATTACCTAAAAAGACATTGTTTTTTTAAAAGTTAGTTGGAAGAAAGCCAAACAATTTACAAACTCAGGCCGACCCGCGGACTTTGTCTGACATGGGTCGCGGCTCGGCCGGAGTTTCATTATAGAGATTTTGGTCCGCGGCTCAGCCGCTGCAATGCTCCACCCCCATCATTAGTGCCGCGGCTGAGCCGGTAAACCACATTCAGTCCGCGGCTCGGCCGCACTCCGGCTACGCCCACAAGTTAAGGCCGCGGACTTACCGGAAAGGCTTTTGGGGCCGCGGCTCGTCCGGTCCCGGTGTCTGAGTAATAACAGGTATTAGCGACATTTATTTTAGAACGACTGGAATATGTGTGTTAGTTCTTCTGTCATAGAAAAGTTCTGAACTGTCTATGCATTCGGATAACAGTTTTGCAGAATTTAGTATGCAGGCTATACACGCCCAATTTGGCTACATGAAAGAATGCCAAGTTTTGGAGTGGCTATCGCATTATTGCCGAACCGCTGTTCGTCATATTCTCTGCATAAACCGTGGAAACAACAAGCGGTTCTATCAAAATTGATGCTGACCAACGAATCGTCTTTTCGGTGCTGTTCACCAAAATTCGGTGTAGATTTCTGGCAGACTACTAACAGCCGTTATTCGACTCCATGTTGCTCCACCTTCAGTGAAGTTCGAATAATCTTTCGCACCTTAGGCTAGGTTCATTGATTCCCATATTCCGAAACTCCCCCCCCCCCCCCACAGTTCCCGCACTGTGCTGGGACTGTTCCGGAACTGTGCTGCATGCGTTGCAGCCGCCCTGCACGCGTTTCAAACGACGGGAGGGAAAATTTTGACTTTTGTCAATGTTTTTTCTTCCAGATCTCTCTCATTTGGGTCTTATTCCTCTATCCGCTTCCCTTTCAATCAGCTGAACTTCAAACTCGAAGCAAGGTTGAAAAATGAGCGCTTTCCTGCTCTGCGTACGCGGCAAAACGTATGTTCTTGTGCTCGTCCATTTTCTCTTCGCTTATTTTTACTCAGACCTATTCCATCTGTTCCAGGAAGACACTGCGTAATTTCCATGGCTATCTGCCATGAGTCAGGGAGTGCGAGCAATTCTAGAATTGCATAAACTGGGACTTTTCTCTTGTTTTCCGATGAGTTTCGTTTTGGGGCAATCTCGCCCCTTTCCATTTTCCATATCGTTGCTTCTACGTTCTTTCTTCTACCCCGCTTCTCCTGGTGAGAGAAATGCTGTAAAACTGAAGCGCTTTTGAAGAAATAACCTTCTTCTGTTCCATGTATCCAGGCAGATTGGTCTTCGTGCAATCGTCCATTCTCTTTTATTTTTGTTTAGACCTACTTCATGTATTCTAGGAAGGCGCTGCGTAGTTTCGCGTCTGTCTTGAAAGGGACATAGACAATCCAATGTACATGAAGTGTCTCCAATCTACCCTATTTTCAGGTGTATAAGCCGCACCCTTTTTGCTCTAAACGCGAGCAGACCCAGGCGTGCCGCCGCGCATATGTCTCGCGAAGCGGTCGCCTTATCGCATACTGCTCTCACTTAACGCGCTCCATGATGAGAGTCAGTCTTTTGGTGTGTTCGCCTTTAGAGTGAAAAGGGTGCGGCTTATACACCTGAAAATAGGGTACATGAAATGTCTGAGCAAAAATAGCGAAGAGAGAATGGACAAGCGCACGAAGGCCCACCTTCCCGAATATACGACGTTTTGCCGCGTGCGCAGAGCAGAAAAGCGCTCATTCTTCAACCCCGCTTCGAGTTCGAAATTCTGTTGGTCAAAAAGATAAGCGAGGTAGAGCATTAGAGCCAAAATGAGAGGAATTTGGAAGAAGAACCGCTGAAAACGGTCAAAACTCCTCAAGTTCCGATGTTCAAAATGCGTGCGGGGCGGCTGCAGCGCATGCAGCACAGTTCCGGAACAGTTCACGTGGGAATCAGTATGAACCCAGCCTTACAAAGAAGCGATGTGTAACTTTGAGATCAAACAATACCGCTCGCCTTGCTTTGGTCTCGCCGCTTTGCCTCAAAGTAATCTGCTACTGCGAGGTCCCAACGCGCGTTTGTCTGCATCATAAGAATCTGGGTAATGTATTACGAAATCGTAAACGATCTTATTCACAAGCGAGGAGCTCTGTCTCTTCTGAACGTTTTTATCTCTTGTAATCTTGCATAGACGTACCCGTGAACAAAATATGCGAAGTTTAGGTTACGCATTTCTGTTTACGTAATGCCTTTGTAGATGTTCCACGTACATCCGCAAAATAGCTTATCATGTGCGTACATTTCAAATTAGACACTTGAGTTGAATCTAATATTGCGGCATCGAGAAAACCACACCTACAAAGCTGCTTCAGAAATTTTGCTAATATATAATATCTCTAACCAAAATTCATAGTCTCCCTACTAGTCCTAAGGAAGTCGTGATTTTGAGCTTCTGATGTATGTGTGTCGCAGATATTCGTTACACGCCAGTCGCTCATAGTAGGGCAAATTCCTATCACTTATATTTTGGAGGACGCACTAATAAAATCACTCGTTGAGATCTCCTCACTGTATATGACCGTTATCATCTGAAGCGGCGGGGTTGAAAACGGCTACGATTGTTGGCATAAACAGGTATCGAATGTTCAAACAAGATTACAGAAATATTTAAAGCATCAAGTGCTTCCTTTACGTAGATTTTTGCTATTTGAAGGTACATATTGTGCTCTACCTGGTCGAGGCATGCTTTGAATCAGTTTCAGATTCTGTTTATTGGTATGCCGCCAGCATGTCGTCAGTATGCCTCCAACATGCCAATGCTAACACAGCGCTGAAATTTGAATTTTGCCTCCAAACAAAGGCCTCGTTTACAAACAAATCGCAATCATATGATACCAAATTCGGTCGTGCATGCGCGTTGTTGGACTCGAACTATGCCCGAAAATTTTCAAAAACTCTTAGAATAAAAGCTGTGTGCAATTTTTTTCTGAATTAACTGATCATGCCAACTGGGTGCCAGCTCAGCTGACACCGACCCTTTTCTCACATAAGTTATCATACTTTTTTGCATAAATTGTATTCACAGTGTAAAAGAAAGACGATATCATGATGTTTTCTTTTCGGCGTTTTATAGCAATCTGAGAATTCTCAGTTACGAATCACAAAGCGCGCTCTAAGCACATGCAGCGCGAGTTCCATCGATTTCATTTCATCACTCTATCAAATTCATTATTTGTTGTTATTGTAATCTTTTATTGTTTTCTTGTATTGTTCTTCGTATTATTGTGTTATTTGTTTCGTTTTAGACATCTGATCGGGACTCTAAAAATAATGACGGGGTACAAAATTTTAAAGACTAATGGTACTTCGTCTTTCTATTTCGGATGCAAGGAAAAGGACGACAAAGCATTTTTTGAAAGATGTCTTCAAGGATGCGAGGTTGTCTTTTCCATGTGAAAAAGAAAGTATCTCTATTAACTTCACGGAATGCACTGGGAGTGTTCAGCATTGAGAAAATGATGTATGATGGTGTGATATGTGATATTGACGAAGTGCTTAAATGATGGTAATATTTCCTGGGCACCTGCGCAGCCAGGCCCAATACTCTGCCATGCGCAATGGCAGTCCTCAATCCAATCGAACTGATATGGGGGAACTTGAAAAGTTATTTCAGGTAAGGTCCAAAAGTCGCACCGTGCAACCTTCGCGTTGTTTTTATTCAGGAGAAAACGATTTGGACATTAGATTAGCTCAATGTAACAGTACTTGAAAGAAGCATATAATGGCAGCGCCTGAAAACCTAAGAATGTCATCCCGAAAACCCTGACCTCAACCCAATCGAACTAATGTGGGAAAACATAAAGAACTATCTATGTTGAAGTCGCGCAGTGCAACCTCATTTTTTCGGAAGAAATTTAACTCGGACACTGGATTAGCACAAGTTAGCACATACTAGAAAGAAATATTCAGTAACTAGCGCATGATAGCCCAAGAATGCCACCCGGAAAGCCCTCATCTTAACCCCATCAAATTGATGTGGGGAAGATGAAAAACTATGTGGGTTAAAGTCCATAGTACAAATGTCTGAACTAGAACTTTGGATTGACTCAAGGTGGCAAATACTAGAAGAAATATCTGGCGTTTAGCATTACCCAAAAATGGCCGCCGGAATGCCGGACTTTAATCCCATCGAACTAATGGAAAGAAAATAAAGAACTATCTATGTTAAAGTCACAAGTGCAACTCTTGCGTTAAGCTTTTTGGGAGAAAATCAACTCGGGCACTGATTTTGCTCAAGACTGCAGCATTAAATCCGCGGCAGTGCCAGAAACACATAAACGAAGAGGAGGCCAAATTGTTGTGATGGAAGTGCTGCTTAAAAACGGAGAAATCTTGCAGAGTTTATATTGTGAATGTGATTTTTTAAAAGGGGAGCCCTCGGCGTCATCCCCAAAAGGTTTGGAGATTTGGCGAATTTATGCATCAACGCATCCCGAGCGATCGCCCCAGAGTTTGACTTCTCGATTTAGAAAATGTGATGTATGTTTCTTTGTATTCGTCTTGAGGTGCTTGATTTCAGAAAACCATGCAGGAGATTCGTGAGCTTGAAGGTTTAACAGTTTATACCCATCAGCTATAACTTTCGACAAAAAGAACAATTTAAGATAACCTTAGAGCGAATTTCTTGGAAAAACTGAGTAATTCTGTGGTGACAACCTGCAAAAGTTCCGAACACATGTACACAAACACATAATGTACACAATGGCATTACTTGAACTTTTGTTCTTATAGAGAAAGTGGAGCAAATTGGAGCGCTATGGACAGAATTTTTTCACTTTGCTCTCGATTTGAAAAAGCTTTTCTGCAATTTGTTGGATGGAAGGATACGCTCAATTCAGCCGAGCAAAAACTTCCGAGTCCAGAAGCGATGGAATTTATCGAAAATTCATCTATACTGGAGTGTGTAGTTAGGCAAAATCTTCCTTCACTGCGTCTAGA